GTGAAACTGATTTCAGACTTATGACCTCCAGAAGTGTGAGAGACATGCATGTTGTCTTAAGTTACTAAGTTTGTAGTAATTTGTTATAGCAGAAAAAGAAAACGAATGCAGTCTTGTTTCCTGAGTACAAGACAAATTATCAGTACTTATAGTGAGCTTTTTGAAAAAAGGCATTATTAAAATCATGGAATGTTCCTACTCTTTGAAAGAAAATCACTTATTCTTTCTTTCTTGGACATGGCAGAAAGATCTAGAAGTGAAATACCTCCAATGTGAATCCTATAGTAGTTCTAAATAAGACACTTTTTTCCCATTTAAATTAGAAATTCTGTGCCCTATATGAGAGATAATAATGGATCTTTTTGAGTGAAAAATAGATACTTTGTCTTAAAAATAGAAAATTTTAACTATAGTCACGTTTCTGTACATTAGAGATCTCCAGACCGTACTCATCTTGTATAACTGAATCTTTGTACCCTTTGGCCAGCACTCCCATTCCCACCCCCACGCCCCAGCACCTGGCAACCACCATTCTACTCTCTGCTTCTATGAGTTTGGCTATTTTAGATTCTACAATATAAGTGATATCATACAGTATCTGTCTTTCTGAGTCTGACTTAATTCACTTAGCATAATGTCTAGGCTATATATATGTGTATGAATGACATATGATATATTGAAAATGTAACTACAGTTAATAATGTATACTTGAAATTTGCTTAGAGAGTAGATCGTTAGAAATTTGTTAGGAGGGTAGTGTTTTCATTAAAAAAAGGAAATTGGTAACTATATGAGGTAATAGATATGTTAATTAGCTTGATTATGGTGATTATTTCACAAAATATGTAAATATGGAAACATCAAGTCATTTACCTTAAATGTATACAATTGTTATTTGTCAATTATACCTCTATAAGGCTAAACAAATGAAATTTTTGCACTAATGATGTAAAGTCTCAATTTCACCTCAGGAGTTAAGTCATTATTTACACTTAAGTATCTACATGAAACAAAACAGAACTCTGTATAATCGTTTTGGAAAAGTCACAACAAAATATGCTTTGGTATGTGCCCAGTTATATTAAAATTTGTACTTACATCATGGATACATATATATAATAAAAATGCTTATTTGATTGTATTTTGGGTCAGTCATTCCTTTGGACAGATTATGTGCAAAGATTGTAAGCATCTTGCATTTTATTCTAAGTGTGGTAGGATGCCATTGGAAATACACACTAAATAAACCATTCAACTAAATTCCCTTGTATTGAAAGGGCTAGAAGCCTGGGAACTTCAGATGGGTTCTGGTTTTGATTCCACTAATGAGATGCTACATTCATTCATATAGGTATTGTCTACAAAACTGAAACTATTTACTATCTGATCCTTTTCTGCAAAAGTCTATCAAACTCTGATTTAAACAATGAGTACCTGGGAAAGAATTACATAAACATATCAAAAAACAGAATAGAGTCTGGAAACAAATCCATGTATCTACAAGAAATTCAACTGTTGACATAGGGTATTTCAAACCAATGGAGGAAAAATGGGCTAATACATTGATAGGGTTACAATAACTTACTAGTCATTGAAGAGAATAAAACTAGAATCCTATGTCATACCACCCAAAAATTTTAAAAAACCTTAAAAAAAAACTGTAAGAGGATTAGAATAAAATAGAGAACAGTGTTAGAATGCTGAAGCAGGGAAGATCTTTTTTCTCTGACATAAAAATTAAACACTTAGCTAGTATAAAAGGCACATAAAAAGGTTACAAGAAAATAGTTGCATCACATATAACAGACAAATGAATAAGATATTAGGAGTTCCTACAAATCATTTTTTTAAAGTGGCAATGAACAATGAATGGGCCATTTGCAAATGAAAAACAGTCTTTGCTCAAGCTTAGAAGTAATTGAGAAAATGCAAATGAAAACAATGAGGTATCAACTTTTCATCCATCATACAGACACAATGATAAAAGGCCAGATAATATTAATCATTGGCAAAGATATATAAAAAGTACTTCTGAAGCACAGCCAAGGGTAATTGTGGTTTCTGATGCCCAGAGCCAGCCATAATTCCTGTTCTAGATAGCCTCACTAGAGACATTCAATAGCAGGCATACAAAGAGGCACTTGCAAAAAGTGTTTGCTAACAGAAGCACTGTAATTGCTGGGGACACTTCAACACCCCACTGACAGCTGGACAGATCATCAAAGCAGAAAATAAAAAAACACTGAACTTAAATGGGACTCTAGAACAGATGGGCCTGACAGACATTTACAGCACATTCTACCCCCAAACTACAGAATACACATTCTTCTCATCTGCACATGGAACATTCTCTAAGACTGTTCATATCTTAGGCCACAAAACTTGTCTGAACAAATTAAAAAAAAAAAAATCAAAATCATACGATGTATCTTCTCAGATCACAGTGGAATAAAACTAGAAATCAAGTCCAAGAGAAACACTCAAATCTACAAAGTTATAGAAGTTAAACAACCTGCTGCTGAACAATTATTGGGTCAATAATGAAATTAAGATGGAAATCAAAAAATTCCTCAAACTGAACAACAAGGGGGACACAAGTTATCAAAATCTATGGGATTCAGCAAAAGCAGTCGTAAGGGGAAAATTCAAAGCCTTAAACGCCTACATCAAAAAGACAGAAAGATCACAAATTAACAACCTAATGACACCTCTTAAGTAACTAGAAAAGGAAAAGCAAACCAAACCCAAAGCCAGCAGAAGAAAAGAAACAACTAACGTCAGAACAGAACTAAATGAAACAGAAAACAAACAACAAAAAATTAGAAAAATAAACAAAAGTTGGTTCTTTGAAAAGATAAACAAAATTGATAGACCTCTTGTTAGATTAACCAGGAATAGAAGAGAAAAGATCTCCCAAAAAACTCAATCAGAAATGAAAAAGGAGATATTACAACTGATACCACAGAAATACAAGATATTATCTATGAATACTACAAAAATCTCTACATGTATACCAGAAAACGATGAGGGAATGGATAAATTCCTGGAAACATACAACCTCCCAAGACTCAATCAGGAAGAAACAGAATTCCTGAACAGACCAATAATGAGCAGTGACATTAAAACAGTAATAAAATATCTTCCAACTAAAAAAAGCCCCAGACCAGATGGAATCACAGCTGAATTCTATCAGACCTACAAAGAAGAGCTGGTATCTCTATGTAAAACAGTATGGAGATTCCTTAAAGAAATAAATTTGATCCAATAATCCCACTACTGGGTATATACTCAAAGGAAAAGAAGTCATTTTATTAAAAAGGCACCTGAACTTCAATGTTTATTATAATTAAAATATATAATATTAATATATAATATATATTATATTATTATATATCATATATTATATAATAACATATCATATATATAATTCACAATTACAAAGATGTGGAATCAACCCAAGTGCCCATCAATTCATGAGAGTATTAACAAAATGTGGTATATGTATACAGTGGAGTACTACTCAACCATAAAAAGGATGAATTAATGCCTTTTGCAACAATTGAGATGGAACTGGAGAACATGAACCTAAGTGAAGTATCTCAAGAATGGAAAAACAGACAACATATGTACTCTCTAATAAATTTGGAACTAACCAAGGGGCATGCATGTGTACAGAGGGAAGCAAAAGTCACTGGAAATCAAGCAGGGGAAAGCAGGAGAAGGGGAGGGACAAAAACTTACCAAATGGGTACAATGAACACTATTTGGGTGATGGTACACTTACAGCCCTGACTCAAGCACTACAAAAACTATTCATGTAACAAAACCATTTGTACCCCCTTAATATTTAAAAATAAAAAAAGTGTGTTGTAACACAGTTTGTAACAGTGTTTATAATAATAACAAGCTATAAACAATCTCAATATCCATCCAAAGCAGCTTGATTAAATAAATTTCAGCAAATTCATACTACAAAATATTCTGATGCTGTTTTAGAAGAATGAAGAAAAACCCTACATTTCCACTTGCAAAGATCTCCAAATACATATTGTTAAGCGAAATAAAAATCAACTTTTAGAATGGAATTTACCTCTGTGATAGCAATAATGAACAATTATTTCAATAATTCACTTTAGAAAAGTTTGACATTTGTATTTAACCAATGCTATTTATATATTGTGGTATCTGGCAAAAATTAACTCTTGGGAAAAAATGCTTTTAGTACTATACAATTTAATAGTTTTAAAAAACTGCACATGCACATATGTGCCTATAAGGCATAGGGAAAAATAATTGAATTGGTATACTCTAAACTCTGGAGAATAATCTCTGGGTAGGGAAATGGAATCTGGCTGGAGATGGCAGAGATTTTCACATTTTGCTCTCTTGCCATTTGTATAATTTGGTCTTTTATAATGAGTATATAGTTAGATGTCACTGGTATGGTTAAAAAAAATCAAAGAAAGCCTATAAAGCTCAAGCACACAATAATTTAAATATATTTTATGGCTGCTTTTTTGTGTGCTTTTTCTTAGAAAATATAGAAATCTTTTTTTAAAGTCTTAGAAAATATTTTAAGCTTAAAAAAGGTACTCAGGGAAGTTAAATACCACATGTCTTTTATCCTAAGACATTGATTTTAAGATATATCATTAATTTAATAACAGCTTTTCAGGAAAAAACAGGACATACCATCACACTGAATGTATAAAATGATTGTAAGATTCATTTCAACTTCACAAATGTTTCTAGATAAGATGACAATTATAATAAGCATCACATTTTGCAGAGAGTATAGAAGTGCTGCTAAGTAAGGCTGCAAGCTTGATTGTCCCCCTCTGATGAATGAACACATATGTGCTTGCAAACTGTTAAGGATCAACTTCTTCGTTTGCCTCTGGCAGGAATACTTACAGAAGAAAAGATCAAGAGTAAACTCACTGTCCACTGCTAACGTCTACGTGAAAAGCATATTCCTCCTGAGTAATGTGAGATCTCACCTTGTTTGGAAAAGGAAATTTGCTTGGTTCCACTTTGCCAGGTGCTTGAATAGCAGAAAGTGGTGGAAGCCAGGTCATCTCCTAAACAAGGGGATAAAAACAAAACAGTATAGTGATGCAGGGAATATTCGAAGTTAGTGGCACGCGAAGCAGCTATGCAAGCATGCCTCAATAAGGCACGAAAGGGTAATAAGGAATGGATATGGGATGGAAGATATTCTTTTGAAAAGGATATGAACCCCACTTTTGAGATTTCTTTTCCTAATTTTACCAATTTTTGACTCCAGGGCTATCCCCATGCTCCCTTTATACCTTAAAAGGGACTGCAAGGCTGTCCTAATTGCACGTCATTGAAGCCCCTGAGTAAAGGGACCGGTCACTAGTAAAAGTTCTATGGAAAATGCAGTATAGAGGGATCTGGGACTTGATCCCACAGAATTCACAGGATGCCTCTGAAGGAATGCACAAAGTCCTTTTAACTTTAGGGATCTTTATTAGAGGAGTTATTTATACTGTTAGAGATAAACTGTGAGTTCCCAACCAGCTCCACACATCACTCTGGTCTTTGTAAAAATGACATTCATGGAGAAGTAGAAAAATAAATCATGTGTATAAAATAAAGAGAAAAGGGTGTCATTTTTATAACACGGTATTAAGAACACGATGCGAGCTTAACTTGCAATAATCTGTCATATACTTTTTGACATGAGCTGTGAGGGGGTGGGGGGGTTGTTTTATTCACTTCCAGTATTCTCCTTCAGTTTCATTTCCTGGAAGACAGTTGCAATCAATAAATGATCATGGAATTAAATTGATATCTGATTACCAAGATGCTAACTTGGAGTTTACAAATTGGTTCTGAACCCCATTTCTTGGTTTGCTTACACTTCCAAACCTGAGCAAACACAGAAGCAGTAGATGATCTATTTTAAGAAAAATGAGAATTCTCTCTCTTTAGGTGAGGACATTTCCTAACCTCCCTTTAGTAGGTGGGTGGATGTTGAAAAGGGATTCTTTTAGGTTTCTGGAATGAAAGGGTTTCCTGAGAATAATCTTGTGCCTTCTTTCCTTGGGTCACTCTCCTCCTCAGCACCTTAGATGGTGTAGAACCCACACAGGGAGCAGGGGGAGGGCGAGTGTGTTCAAAGCCAGCTTGGGAGGATATACTAAGCTCACATCATCTCTCCCTGATCATGACACGTGCCACAGGTGGTAGATGGGTCTAGCACATGTGCATTCAAGGTATTCATTCCCCATTCAGCTGTTACCAAAGCAAACCCTTTATGTCCCTGTGTCCTTCCACTTCTTGCTCCCCAAGTATCTGCCAGTGCACTGGTGTCCCTTTTGAGGAGGTTGTTAACCAGGATTGTCGAATTTGTACTCAGAGTGGTCTGTGTCTTTGTTGAATCAAGGAATTGGTCATCATTCTCAGAGTTGGGCCACCTTGTCTGGCCAGATCTCCCCCAGATTTCTGCTACCCAATTAAGAAAGCTATTAAGACACAAGTGGGTTTTCATTAGTTTCCTTTCTACAAATTGGCTCCCCCATATAGCCATCTTTCCTCTATAGCGTTTCTGATTTTTCTCTTTTATTTAAATTACTCTTTAGGATATGTGTGTTTTGCTATAATTGGTCTCAAATCTTTTGCAGAGGAGTTAGTTATCGATTACAAACCATGGAACCAATTATTCTCTTCCTCTGTTGACTGCCTGATATGTCCCTGAGTCTGTCCCACTGCTAATCAGCCGCTCAATAGCTTCCTTTACAATCACTCTTTGGCTTAAACAATTTAGATCGTATGATCCTTAGGGGCCCAAAATTGCTAAGTACAGACTAATTACTCATGATTAAACATCAGACTTGCACATACAACCCCCATATGTCCATGTTAACTTTGCATACAGATTCCATCTGTATACCAGAATGCCTTGTATATGTGCATTTTGTGTCTGACTGCTACCAAAAACACAGAAAAGACAAACGACTATTTCTGTGTGTCCCACAGCTACTCAGGAATAACTTAAAAGTCCATAAAAATATAAATAACAATACTTTCAAAAGAATACCTCCCAGACCAACAGCTTCTTATAACTGATACTTTCAGGTTAAAATTTGTTTAATACACAGTCCAAGAGTGAAAGAGCAGACAAGCTTTAAGACATCACTAAGCTGTGATCCTTAAGGGTAAAAACTGCCTTCCAGATCTTTGTATCTTAATCATAGTCCATCCCTGAGCACCCACTCCTTCACTGCATGGACGTTTACTGAAGATGCACTGTGCGCAGGCACTGTGATGACCTTATATACATAGGGTGCTCAGTCCAGTATCTACTGAACTTGAAAGTTAGGGTATCAGGTCTGTGACCACTATCAATCTTTTTTCCTGAATCCCAGTTATGCATGTAATCTTTTCTTTCCCTCCTTCCTTTCTTCCCTCTCTCCTTCCTTCCTATCCATCCATCATTCACTCATCATCCACCCAACCTCAAAAACCATTGGCACAGAAAGCAGATGCTACATCATCTTAGCTTGCTGTCCTCATGCAAATACCCTTCTCCTTTGAGATTTTGGCCTAATGGTTTTGACTCCTCAGCTGCTTTCCTTACCTCATTAAGTATGAGCTGCAACTTTCTCTCAGCCCACCCCACCCCTTTAAGCCAGCCTAATGGCTCCCTGCAAAGTCCCCTCCTATCCTCCCAGCCTTATAATACCCTCCTGTTGGCTTTTAAGGGCAGTAGGGCAATCTTGTGGATTCCCCAAGCACCTCACTTTACCCTTCTGGCCTTGTTCTTTTTCTGCATCCATCTCTGCTCTGCCTCAAAGTTTTGGCTTCAAAACCCTGAATTTAACTCTGACCTTTGGACTTCTGTTTTGAAGAATTAGCATCTTGGCTCTTCCTAGTCTACTCTCAGCCAGCTCATTCCATGGGCTCTCCAAGCCCTATTTTTCCTCAGCTAAAAAATGGCACATTAAATCAATTGCTCTTGAAATTTAACCACCCAATACTAACCACCAAACGGACATCTTAGCTGGCTTATTCCAGACCCTCCCACGAGGTGAAGATCACTTGTAGGTCCATACAAATCCCCCTAAGATCTCCAGTTTTTTTAATTATTATTTGTATTTTGCTGTTTACCCATAGCCTAGTTCTCTAAGTAGTAAAATCTCCAATTTTGGATCAAGCCCTCATTCTGGCTTCTCTGATCCTACACGTGGGCTGCTTAGAAAAAGGCAACTGTGCATACAGGTGCTGAAACAGAAGTAAAACAATGACTTCCCTACACACGGGCCCTCCATGTGGCTCTGGCCAGGCTTGTGTTCATTCCTCACATTTTGTGACTCTCCTGGAGACTTGCTTTGGTTCTTTCTCTCACAATAGGTGACCTGGCCTCCTATGACATCTAAAAAGCAAAGCTCTCAAAGTTTAAATGTTCCCCAAAGACAAATCTGTGGGTTCATGCCTGACCGCCGCTTCCTTCCCTCTGGTATGACTAGAAGAGGCCCATCCCCACCTGTGCCCTCCACCTGTTTGTTCCTGTGTGTGTATATATTTGTGTGTAGTTTAAGCATAATGAAATGAATACCTGCGAACTCACAAAACACCTTCACATCACCAAGACCTTATCATCCACTTTTCAAGAACCAACTATTACATAAGTCCTTCTGATTGTCAAGATCATTGGATTTTCTCGAATGCTTTCATTTCTTCCCCAAATTCTCTTCTCACAGCTCCTACGATGATGTCTTCCTTGCTCACCTCTACCCTCTAAGCTTTCTTCCTTTCTTTTCTTCTTCTTTTTCTTTCTTATTTTTTTTTGCTGAATCTTCTTTTCTCTCACCGTTCCTTGAATGTCTTGTGTTCAAGCTTTCCTCTCACTACGTTTCCTTTCTCTGGGTGACTGTGGCTTTACAAACCATCTAATATGCTGGTAATGCTCCAAAGTATATCCAGCTCTTAACTGCTTCCTCTAGATGTCTCCTGAACTTCTCAACCTGGGAGTTTGATGGTCAATTCAAACTCACCATGTTTAAAAATGAACTTTTATACTCCACAAACTTCTCCTCTTCTTGTGCTTTATATTCTTGTTAATGGCACTGACATCTATTGTCTACAAGACAGAATACTCATCCTAGATTCTGTCTCTTTTACTCCCTCTCCCCAGTAGTAACAGTAACACACATTTATTAAGCAATTAAAGTGTATCATACATGGTTTTAAATGTTTTACATGATTTACTCAGTATAATTCTCATAACAAACCTAAAAGGTAGTATTCATCATTCCCTCAATTTACAGGTGAGGAAACCAAGTCACTAAGAGGTTAAGTGATTTGCTGAAGTTCACCCCACAGCTGGACTTACCATATCCTGGGCTGCCTCTAGGTGGACCCAGGACCTTCTGTGTTCTAGCCATGGCCGAACTCCTGTCTCACTGCCGCCCCAAGCTGAGAACCCTGAATACAGCATGCTTCCCTGTTGTTTGCGAGGTTGTTCACTCATCTGGCAATACCCACTTCCATTTCCTCCTTTTCTATGAAGCCTTTTTTGGCCAAATCAAGCCACTATTGATTTGACCTTCCATTATGCCACATGTTCCATACACATATTCCTATTAGAACATTTGTCCCTCTGCTGTGGCTACGTGTTTATACACCTGTGCTTCCCCTCTAGCCTGTGATGAGCCCTCGAGGGCCAAGACTGCATCCTTTGTCTGGTGGCCCCAGCACCTAAAAGCTGGAGCATTTTTATTCAGAAATGAAACTTTTCTGTTTCATTTCACACATTCTGTTTTGTGTGGTAGTTTTATGAGTACATTCCTCAGTCTACACCCAACCATTTCTCCCTCTTCTGATGCTCTTCCCCCAATGTAGAATAAAATGAAACTTTTCATTTCTGAATAAATGCTGAATTGAACAGTATCTCTGCAATGTCTCTAGCTTCCCTTCCTTTCCATTACTTGAACTACCACCCTCATCACACCTTCATTACCTTTAACTTGGGTTACTTTAACAGCTTCCTGGTTGGTTCTCTTTCTTCTGTTAGCAGTCCATTCTCTACACCGCTGCCAACTGAATTTTCCTA